CCCCCCCCCCCCCCGCGAATGGACCTCCCCCCGCCCCTCAAAGAATTCCTAGCTACGCCACTGGCCAAAGGCATTAACATGTATTCCTCTGTAGTTGCCACTCTAAAGATGAAGAATGAAAGTGCTCACCTGCTGACTTGCGAGTCGAAGGCGGTCTCGTAGACATGTCTCTTTTGCGACATCTCGTCTAGATCGAGCTCGTCGAGGATTCGCGTGGGCGAGTCCCAGTCATAGGCTTGGCAGCCGGCGACCAGGTCCTCATCAGAGGCGAGCTCGCTGCCCAAGGACTCCTCCAAGGAGGCGCGCTCCGGGATGTAGAGCGTGTTGCGTCGGGAGTCGGGCAAGGCGCCTGAGCTCACTGCCGGAGTCCTCCTCGGCTCCCGGGTCGGCATCCAGGCATCGTCTGCTGTGTCCAAGCTCACGCTCTTCCCCAAGCTCGCCTGCCGACGCGCCGATTCCGTCTTCGAGGATCGGATCTTGTGGATGTCCGCGTAGTAGTACGGCGTCCCAGCCCAAGCCGCCGAACTCCCATCCTCCGCCTTCCTCCCTCCCGCACTCTCGAGGGCTCGTAATCGCTCTGAAATTTTAACGCAAATCCCTTCAGAAACTTGAAAATTGATGAGGATAAACAATGTCGAACATTCTCAAAGACACGGAGGAAAATACTTCGTGCATGGGACCCGAAGTTGAGGTCATATGGATCTCTGAAGATTTCTGATCACGCATCCGAAAACTTGAGGTCGAGCTGCTGAAGTTTGGGTCAGATATCGAGGCACTTCGGTATATACCGGAGTACTTCAGATGTGTGACCCGAACCCTTCGGTATATATCGAAGTACTTCAGATGTCTGACCCGAACTTCAGCAGCTGGACCTCAAGTTTTTAGATACGTGATCCGAAAACTTCAGAGATCCATATGACCTCAACTTCGGGTCCCACGCACGAAGTTTTTTTCTCCGTGGAGGATCTATAGCTCCTTCATTGAGAAATAATTTTACTCCATTAGAAGCCTGGTTGAGAAGTTAATGCTAATGGAACAACTGTCTAATTTGAACAATATATCTTTCTGCGTTCCTTAATTTCTAGAATTAATCTTAATTTTAATTATAATTTTGATTGACCCATTTATTTGCCTTTCTCTATGCGAGTTTTGACAAATAAAACTATTTACTTAATTAGGAAGTGTAATCAGAAAGTGTTTCCGGCGATCAGCTGGTGTAACTGGAAATGCTAAATACTTCCAGTAAGTATTCCCTTGAAAGTGCGTACCTTGAAGCGCAATCAAGGAGTGTTTCCGACGATTAGTTGATTGGAAGCATTTTCTGATTACACAGCGAAAGTACACAGCATCAAGTGAATCTTCATCGGAAATATTATGCATTTCTGGTTGCACCAGCGGATTGCCGGAAACAGTCTCTGACATGACAAACGAATATTCTGGCATGGCTCTCACAAAAAGTTTAAAGGTGGCTTTAAGTAATCTCATGGAGAGCAAGAAAAGACCCTAGTATTTAAAGGAAGTTATTCAATTTAAGTTTTTATTAAACAAGGTCGTTGTATTTTCGGAGAGAAATTCGCTTTCATTGCCCAACCTTGGAAGTTTTTCACATCTCTTTCACTCCTTGTCCTTCTCTCCCCTCCCTCTTCATCTCTCCGATCGATATGACAGATACGTAAACACTGGTTACCGGACATGCAAGGACTTTGACGTTTAGTTAATTAGTGTTTTCTTTACCTTCACAGGGTTGACTATATTTTGAATCAGGACTAGAATATAATTTGGCTGACGCCTCTTCACCCGGCTGCAAGTATGCTTTGGAATCTCTTGGATCAGAGTAATTTTCGATTACTTCGACCTGGAAAAATTGAAAGTAATATTAGCAATAAGGCAAAAACGCGAGTCATAATTATTTTAGTGTATTTAAAAATAATTTATTGAGAATTGAAAGCTGACAAACCGCATCAATAATCTGAGAGAATGCCAAAATTATACTCCACAAACTTTAGAATTTTTCCTTCACTGGACTCTTTGTGGCTTGAATTTATAATTTTGCAAAAATCTATGATTTACGAGTGATACCCAAGCCGGTATTAGAAACTCGAATGCAATCATGATCACTCATGGATTTTTTATATAATTGAAGAGTGTAAGATGAGAATTTAGAACTTTATCATCACGATAGAAACCGATTTGAAAGTACCCACTCAAAAAAAGTAATAGCTAAATCACAAAATTGATATAACTACAGATTTCTTTGACGACGTCTGGCTCGGATTGTTCATAAGTGGTGAGAGTGAAGAAGAAAATTGTCTAAAACACCAATGGGTTTGTGAATATTGAGACTAATTACGGGTCTCCTTTTGAAAAGAAAAAAAAAACTATTAAAATAAAAAAAACATTACTAAAGGTTGATTTTTTTCAATGAAACTCGTATTTTTGACGGAGTTGACGGTCAGAATATTTTGCCCCCGTCACTGAATTTTCTGATCCTTTGATCAACCATCCCTATCAATCAGTTATTAATAATTTTGCGCGCGCCACTACTGAATGATATTACTGATTTGATCATCATAGTTGAGAGGGATCTAATTCACAAAATTGCAGCAATAGAATGTTTCTGACACTCTGTATAGATTAAGTTTGTAAATTCCATAAAAAGAATCTTCTCAAGCCAGATCTTCACCATGGCAAAGGTGGCAAAAAATGCAGCATGCCCCTTCCCCACCAAGAGTCTCTGCCAATTTCTTTTGGATCTGAATGGTCTCCTACATGGAGACCATGTAACCTGTCCTGGGGTCCACACTTTCTCCATAAAGGTACTCTATCCCTCCTAAAATTTGAACAATCAACAGATCAAAACTTACTCTCTCTCCATCGGGACTAGAAAAATGATGAGCTCCAAGGCTGACTGGTCGTCTTTTATTTACAAAATCAACAGGAAGACAGTAATCATCGCAAAGTGATATCTGAAACAAAGAAAATTAAATTATTTGTTATGATAACAGTAGGCTAGCAGGAGCAAGTGCAAGACATACCTGTAAAGAAAGCCTTTGTATGTTTCATTTGGAAAGTTTCCCGAACGAAAACGGGCCACAAACATTATTTTTCATACGTAAGCTTGACTCAATTTTTTGCCCACACCGAGAAAAATAGTTATTGAATACAATCGTATGTAGGAGTCAATTAGTCAAACGGTGGTAGTTTGGTTGGTTAAAATTAAGATCAGATAAAATGAATCTGAATTTTTATCAAACCAAATATATTTTTACTTCATTTTAGAATTTTTTTATTGAAACCTCGGATTAATTCAAATTAACCTTCTTGTCATTGTAGTCTTTATAACGCATCAGCACACAGGTTGAAACCTACTCTCCCCCGGAAACGTTACGTAATGTATCAACGACTCCAGAAATCACGCTGAGGTTTCTGGAAGCCAATTCTTAATCCGCACTCTCACCAGTGGTATCGCCGCGTTTTGAAGGCGCGCTCGAACGTTATCCAACAATATTGCTGGATAAACTATGTTAATCTTCATGCACATTAAAAACAGTGGAAAGGGGGTTTTTCAAGCATGTCAGGGTAGATAGGGAAGTGGGAGGAATTAGATCAGAACGAAACCCTTCAAGTTATGCACGACAGCTGTAATCGTGCGATGTGAGTGTTTAACTTAAAATGATCGCCTTCAAAGTGCCTTCAATCATGGAGCATGCAACCGTTCAAACTTTTGAGATTCTTTGATCGACAAGCCGTCATCAACGGAGGCTGTTTGGTAGATTCAAAATGGTATGGATTAAATAAAATAGATACACAAAACACATTTCAAAAAACATGAATAGGGATTAGTTTAGGGCTTAAGTGATTTTGAATTTTTCCTGTCGAAAATTCAAAATCGGGAGGCAATATAAGTATTTTAATCGAATAAAAAAGCATAGAATTACATTATTGATCAAATTATAATACTTATTCATTCGACATTAAGCCTAAAGAAGAATCAAACTTCAAACCTCATTTTCTCGGCTCGGCCTTGTTGTGACTTGGTTTCTTTCTGATTCATTAGTTTCACGCGACAAAGAGTTGAAACAGAAAAATTTATCTGACGAACTTCGGATAGGAATAAGAAGAAACCAAAGGACGAAATCTTAATTCAAAATTTATAGGAGAGTAAAAGTTTTACCGTTTATAATTTGTCCTTGTTGTTTCCCATAGTTGATTTCTATCTCCTTTTTTTTTCTTTTCTTTTTTTCTTTTTTTTTCTTAATTAAGAGGGACTGGGGGGTCATTTTGCCCCTGAATAAGGTAGAGCAAGTAATAATCGTCACAGATTGGACACAAACCGCTTTCTATCTAGAAGCGCCAACATTTTTCCGGCTCCGAATAGTCTCCGTGGGACCGAGTGCCCAAATCCTCTTCATATTCATACTCTCCCTATTAAGGCACTCCGACACAGGATTGCCTGTAGTCATGAAATTATGTTTTGACAACGCAGTGCGCTCAACACCTTGACTTGCCGCATTTCTTTGACTCAAGACGGCAAAAGCTGGCCAGGTTCGATACGATGAGTTTCCCCTCGTCACGCACATAATTTATTAAAGTGAAAATTAGGCGCCACCTTCATCGTATTCTGCCGTGCTAAGGAAAAACGTCATATGAACCTTCAGGCGTTGCCGAATTTCCATTTATAAAACACAAATTTCCTGGTAAACTTATGAATATTTTCCCTCCAATTTTTCGTATAATTTTGTTCGCAGTTTTACTCGAAGTTCCTGAAAATTTCGAAGAAAAATATTCGTAACTTTCCTTGAAAATAAACATTTTATTCAAGGAAATTTGGCAACTCTCGAATGTTCATACGGCGTTCTTCCTTAGCACGGCAGTATTGGTGGCTACCGGCCGGCATAGCAGGGCTCATTCCATTATCACACAACTTCAGTCGTTTCAGAGGGACCCTTATCGATGACCTAGTAATCCACAGCTCACCAATAACCACCTGACTACCGCCCGTCTTCTTCCCTCGTCAACGCGCTGAAATGCGTACGAGGAAAAGCCAAACACGCGACAGGGAGCTTCAAACAATCGATTTCGAGAACCACGACGCATTTCCCAACTAAACCTGAAATAACAGACGGAGATTTTATTCGTTAGGAGTCGTGCGGACTCCAGGGGTGGTAAAAGCTTATCCCCTCACAACTTTTAACTTCTTGGATGGACAAAATACCTAACATGCGGGATAAAAGCCGTTCATTAACTACCTAACGTTCTGGAGGGGGGGGGGTCGAGTAAAGTGTTACGTCTTTTTATTTTTACTTGTTAATGGCCTGGGGGTTAATGTACCTACATCACAAAAGCGTTACAAGGGGGGGAGGAGGGGGTCAAAATTACCAAAAAAGGGCATTATGTAATTTATGAAAGCTCCCAGACCTAACCTAACCTAACCTAACCTAACATTTTCAAGCAAACTTCAGTCAGATGGCCGAAGTCTTCGGTGAAAAAGTACAAGCTTTAGAATACCTAGCAAAAACTTTAGTTTTAGTTACCCGAACCGGAGTTTGGTCCCTATGACCAAGAGCTTCGGCAATCTGCACCGTGAACCGTGGCAGAAACAGTGTTCCTGTCCGGCTTTCTCCACTTGGTTCTGTATACCAACATAATTGGTGTTTCACACCAACCACCTTCCAAATATAGTTGGAATGTACGAATTTAGTTTTGTAAAACGACAAGTCCGTCGATTTACAGCACCAGTAGGGTTACCTGCATCAAAATCAACCATATGGTTGGAGTAGAACAATATATACTTTTTTTCCTTTCCCTCATGTAAAAGTGGTATTGTTGTAATAGCAATTCACCATGATTCAGTGGTATCTGTTTCAATGCTATCGGAAATAATGGAAAGGATCCACGAAGTCATATGGTTCCGGAGGACCAAGGGAAACGGCCATATTAATCTTAGGTCAGTTAAATGGGATGCATAAACCGCAGCAAATTAAATATTCGCTCTCTAACATCAGGTCGTCTTTAATTGCCACAAAAAATTAACACGCGTACTCGCATTTATTCTAACGGATTTTTTTAACACCATAAGAGCATCCACACACTGACAAAAGCTTGATTATTTAACTACTTAATTGGTCCATCGTGTTCAAAATACTTTACGATAGCGAGCTGCGGCTGAGCATGGCTCACAGATGGACTCGAGCAAGGAGGTTTCGTGCAGGTCCATAAAATTCCCATAAAATACACAAACATTCACATTTCGCCACGCAAATTGCCATCCAGTGACTGAGATTTACCGAGGTCAATATTTGTAAAATACAACATATCCTCGACCATTCATTAAGATCTGATGGTCGGAACTCACGATGAAGACCGTTCTACGACCTTGCGGGCGCGTGGCCCAGAGGAAGGCTCAGTTTTGAGTCGGTATTACTTTAACGAAACCTTTAACAGCAAATTGAACCTGTGACGGACGAACATAACGTTTTACGCTTAGTAAAACTAACGACGGAATGGAATTCGTTCATCCGGGCTTAAATTAAAGGTGCGGGTTCAGGCATGGACCTCAGGGCCCATCCCTTGCTGCAGCAAAGTGTGGGTGGTGGCAAAATAACGCCGTAAGATACAATTACATGAAGAAAAGAAAGTAAGGAAAAAACCCTTTTCCGAACTTTAGTGGTAGCAAAATCGTGTATTTGATCCTGATAGAAAGGGAGCCAACGGATATAAGCGGCCCATGGGTGACAAATAGGTATGATTACATTTCTAAGTCAAATCAAGTCTCAGCCAATCACTCGTTGCCAATCGATTTCCAGCTTATAGGTATTGTTACATGTGATGGAGGACGATTGGATTGCATTTTGCAAAACGGAACCAAAAACATTCCAATAATGCTAGGATTGTGCAACTTAAATTCTTTGCAAAAAAGTACTGAAATCAATCATGCAAAAAAATACATTTTTGTCTTGAATTCATGGTTTATTGGGAGTAAAGATAAAACTTATTTAGATGATTAGTTTATGTTTGCAAGGTAAAAAAGTTGCACAATCTTGGTGACATATCGGAATGCTCTTGGTTCCCTTCTTGCAAAATGCAATCCAATTAGTTAGGTCTACGGATGAGATACATGTTGAGAGACTGAACTGCCGATCGTGCATCCTTATGAATCTCGGAGTGAGATCCGGGCTGCCTGGGTGAATTTTCGTCGGAGCTTATTTTGCCCCCAAAAACTCAAGTGATATGATTGCAAAGTGGAATCTATTATTTTTCCTCGGTGGTCTCTGCTTTTACAGAGTGCGAAATGAACTCTTTTTGTGAGGTTAACACCGCTCTTGTGAAGAAAATTTCATTTCTTATTGATATTATTTGCAAGGTTTTTTTAGGGCGGGGGAATGGAATAGGCTCTAGAGTAAGATGCACTCTATATTTCAAACAATATGAAATTTTAGTATAATGTTACCATTGTAACCGTCTCCAAAAGCCATTCCTTCTGATATAAATACGATTTTTTTTGAAGACTCTCGAAAAACTGTCTTTACTTTTATCCTTGACTTTATGGGGAAATAAGGGGTAAAAAAAAAACACTTTCGAGACGGATAAAAAAGTTTACGCTGCCAAAGTCCACCTTGAATGCAGTTTCCGTGGATAAGCCATAAAATGAACAATAAGCGACGACATTATATAAAACAACGGACCGGTGTCGTTTTTTATTGTAGGGATTCTCATAGCACGGAACGGCTGACGGCCGGCCTAGTGTGAACTTGAAGTGACATTCCCAGTTTGCGTTCGTATTATGTTTAATAAATCACTCGAAAATATATTTTTTCAATTTCGCAAAATGGTCACGTCTGAAACGTGTTATGAAATCAGTCGTCCTTCCACCCTTGTATTCCGGTTATAATTAGAAGCTCAGAAATCTGACTGTTGATTTTTATGTTTCTTTTATTCGAACAAAAATCTATGAGGTATGGAAGTA